AGAAGGGACATGGACACGATCCCATCATCCCATGGTCCCATGATCCCACCATCCTGTAATCCCATGATCCACCATCCCAGAAGGTCATGGGATAGGGATAACACCTCGGGTTGTCCATGCAGAAGGGACATGGACACCATCCCATGATCCTGGGAAGTTGTGGGACAAGGAGAACCCTGTGGATGGTCCATGCAGAAGGGACACGACCATGATCCCACCATCCTGTGATCCCACGATCCAACCATCCCAGGAGGTCACGGGACAAGGATAAGGGTTCAGATGGTCCATGCAGAAGGGACATGGGCACGATGCCATCATCCCATGATCCCATCATCCCACCATCCCATGATCCCACCATCCCAGGAGGTCATGGGACAGGGATAACACCTCGGGTTGTCCTTGCAGAAGGGCCATGGACACCATCCCATGATCCCATCATCCTGTGATCCTGGGAAGTTGTGGGACAAGGAGAACCCTGTGGACGGCCCTAGTAGAAGGGACACGACCATGATCCCATCATCCCATGATCCCACCATCCCAGGAGGTCATGGGACAGGGATAACACCTTGGGTTGTCCATGCAGAAGGGACACGACCATGATCCCATGATCCCATAATCTTGTGATCCACCATCCCAGGAGGCCGTGGGACAGGGATAACACCTCAGGTTGTCCATGCAGAAGGGACACGACCATGATCCCACCATCCCATGATGATCTCACCATCCCAGGAGGCCATGGGACAGGGATAACACCTCGGGTTGTCCATGCAGAAGGGACATGGACACGATCCCATCATCCCATGATGATCCCACCATCCCAGGAGGTCACAGGACAGGGATAAGGCTTCAGATGGTCCATGCAGAAGGGACACGACCGTGATCCCACCATCCCATGATGATCCCACCATCCCATGCTCCCATGATCCCACAATCCCAGGAGGTCATGGGACAGGGATAAAGGTGCAGGTGGTCCTTGCAGAAGGGACATGGATACGATCCCATCATCCCAGAAGGTCATGGGACAGGGATAACACCTTGGGTTGTCCATGCAGAAGGGACATGGACACCATCCCATGATCCCATGATCCCATAATCTTGTGATCCCACGATCCCACCATCCCAGGAGGCCGTGGGACAGGGATAAGGGTTCAGATGGTCCTTGCAGAAGGGACATGGACACGATCCCACCATCCCATGATGATCCCACCATCCCATGATCCCGTGATCCACCATCCCAGGAGGCCGTGGGACAGGGATAACACCTCGGGTTGTCCATGCAGAAGGGACACGACCGTGATCCCATCATCCCATGATGATCCCACCATCCCAGGAGGTCATGGGACAGGGATAAGGGTTCAGGTTGTCCATGCAGAAGGGACATGGACACCATCCCACCACCCCGTGATGATCCCACCATCCCAGGGGGCTGTGGGACAGGGATAAGGGTTCAGGTTGTCCATGCAGAAGGGACATGGACACGATCCCACCATCCCGTGATGATCCCACCATCCCAGGGGCCGTTTTGGGCCTGGAACGCTGATCCCCATTCCATGCGCGGTTCCCCAAGCAGTCTCCGACCCCCCCCAACCATTCCCGTTCCCAGAGAAACCATTCCAAGGAAATTCCAGCTGGGAAGGGCGGCAAGGAGAGGCCAAGGCAGGATTTTGGCGCACGGTTTTATCTGAGCCGGGAAGGAGGAAAAAAAGGAAAAAATTACAACAAAAAAACCCCCAAAAATAATTGGGGGAAAACTGCGGGAAAAAACGCTGCGGGGAAAAAACCGGAAGCGCAAAAATTTGGGAATAACTGGAATTTGGGAATAACGCAGCTGGAAGAGGCAACGTTCTCCAGGTCCGTGGGTCCCCGAGTTCCGGAAGGTTCCGGAAGCCGCCGTGAAATAAAATCCTCTGTACAACGTCCGAGGGAGAGGGGGGAAAAAAAACCCCAAAAACGCCGAATTCCGGGGATTTCAACCCAAAAAAACCCAAAAATCCGCGCCGCCCTCGGGCTCCCGGGATGGATCCCACTGGATCCCACCCAACCCAGCAAAAAGAAAAGTTTTTCCGATGGAAAACCCCCAAAACCTCCTTTTTTCCCCCCAAAACCTCTTTTTTTTTTCCTTGGAAAACCCCAAAACCTCCCCTTTTTCCAAGGAAAACCCCCCAAAATCTCCTTTTTTTCCAAGGACAATGTCCAAAATCTCCTTTTTCCCAAGGGTTTTCCTTTTTTCCAAGGAAAACCCCGAAACCTCCTTTTCCTCCAAGGAAAACCCCCAAACCCTCCAATTTTTCCAAAGAAAAACCCCAAACCCTCCAATTTTTCCAAATAAAAACCCCAAAACTTCCCTTTTTTCCAAATAAAAACCCCAAACCCTCCAATTTTTCCAAATAAAAACCCCAAAACCTCCCTTTTTTCCAAATAAAAACCCCAAACCTCCAATTTTTCCAAATAAAAACCCCAAACCCTCCAATTTTTCCAAATAAAAACCCCAAAACTTCCCTTTTTTCCAAATAAAAACCCCAAACCTCCAATTTTTCCAAATAAAAACCCCAACCCCTCAATTTTTTCCAAGGAAAAACCCCAAACCCTCATTTTTTCCCAAGGAGAAACCCCAAAACCTCCCTTTTTTCCCAAAACTCTCCCTTTTTTCCAAATAAAAACCCAAAACTTCAATTTTTTCTGAATAATACCCCCAAAACCTCAATTTTTTCCCAAGGGTTTTCCTTTTTACCAAAGAGAACCCCCAAAACCTCCTTTTTTTTTCCCAAAAAAATCCCCCAAAACTCCCATTTTTTTTTCCAAATAAAACCCCCCAAAAACCTCATTTTTCCAAATAAAAACCCAAAAACTTCCATCTTTTCCAAGTAAAACCCCCAAAACCTCCCTTTTTTTCTCAAGGGAAACCCCCAAAACTTCAATTTTTCCCAAATAAAAACTCCAAACCTCCCATTTTTCCAAATTAAAACCCAAAAATTTCCATCTTTTCCAAGGAAAACCCTCCAATTTTTCCAAGAAAAACCCCCAAAAACCTCATTATTTCCAAGGAAAACCCTCAAATTTTTCCAAATTAAAACCCAAAAATTTCCATTTTTTCCAAGGAAAACCCTCAAATTTCTCCAAGCAAAACCCCCCAAAAATCCTCAATTTTTCCCAAATAAAACCCCAAAAACTTCCATCTTTTCCAAGGAAAACCTTCAAATTTCTCCAAGCAAAACCCCCCAAAAATCCTCAATTTTTCCCAAATCAACCCCCAAACCTCCCATTTTTCCAAATAAAACTCCAAAATCTCCCGTTTTTCCAAGGAAACCCAAAAACTTCCATATTTTCCAAGGAAAACCCTCCAATTTTTCCAAATAAAAACCCCAAAACTTCCATTATTTCCAAGGAAAACCCTCAAAATTTTCCAAGGAAAACCCCCCAAAAACCTCAATTTTCCCAAATAAAACCCCCAAACCTCCAATTTTTCCAAATAAAAACCCAAAACCTTCCATCTTTTCCAAGGAAAACCCCAAAAAACCTCATTATTTCCAAGGAAAACCCTCAAATTTCCTCAAGCAAAACCCCCCAAAAATCCTCAATTTTTCCCAAATCGACCCCCAAACCTCCCATTCTTCCAAGAAAAAAACCCAAAACCCCTCAAGCCAGAAAACCTCATTATTTCCAAGGAAAACCCTCAAATTTTTCCAAATAAAAACCCCAAAATTTCCATCTTTTCTGAGGAAAACCCTCAAATTTGTCCAAGGAAAACCCCAAAAAACCTCAATTTTTCCCAACTAAAACCCCCAAACCTCCCATTTTTCCAAATAAAAACCCAAAATCTCCCATTTTTCCAAGGAAACCCAAAAACTTCCATATTTTCCAAGGAAAACCCTCAAATTTCTCCAATGAAAATCCCCAAAACCTTCAATTTTTCCCAACTAAAACCCCCAAACCTCCCATTTTTCCAAATAAAACTCCAAAATCTCCCATTTTTCCAAGGAAACCCCTCCAATTTTTCCAAATAAAAACCCCAAAACTTCCGTCTTTTCCAAGGAAAACCCTCCAATTTTTCCAAGCAAAACCCCCCCAAAAAGCTCAATTTTTCCACAATAAAACCCCTCAAAAAACCTCAATTTTTCCCAAATCAAGCCCCAAACCTCCCATTTTTCCAAGGAAAACCCCAGCAGGCCCCTCCCATTTTCCCAACCGCGACGCTTGGCGAGACACGAGGAGGATGAGGAGCAGCAGGAGGAAGACGAAGAAGAAAAAGAAGGAGAAGGAGAAGAGGAAGAAGAAGAAGGAGGAGGAGAAGGAGAAGGAGGAGGAGGAGGAGAAGGAGAAGAAGAAGAAGATGAGGAAGAAGAAGAAGAAGAAGGAGAAGAAGAAGGAGAAGAAGATGAAGAAGGAGGAGGAGAAGAAGAAGAAAGAGAAGAAGAAGGAGAAGAAGGAGAAGAGGAAGAAGGAGAAGAAGAAGAGGAAACACCAAAAGCAGAAGAAGATGAAGAAGAAGAAGAAGAAGAGGAAGGAGAAGGAGAAGAAGAAGGAGGAGAAGGAGAAGAAGACGAAGAAGAAGAAGAAGGTGAAGAAGAAGGAGGAGAAGGAGAAGAAGAAGAAGAAGAAGAAGGAGAAGAAGAAGAAGAAGGAGAAGAAGGTGAAGAAGAAGAGGAAGAAGAAGAAGAAGACGAAGAAGGAGACGAAGAAGAAGGAGAAGAAGAAGAAGAAGGAGACGAAGAAGAAAGAGAAGACGAAGAAGAAAAAGAAGAAGAAGGAGAAAAAGAAGATGAAGGAGAAGAAGGAGAAGAAGGAGAAGAAGAAGGAGGACAAGAAGAAGGAGAAGAGGAAACACCAAAAGCAGAAGAAGATGAAGAAGAAGGGGAAGAAGAAGAAGGGGAAGAAGAAGAAGGGGAAGAAGAAGAAGGAGAAGAGGAAACACCAAAAGCAGAAGAAGATGAAGAAGAAGAAGGAGGAGAAGAAGGAGAAGAAGGAGGAGATGAAGAAGAAGAAGGAGAAGAACGAGGAGAAGAGGAAACACCAAAAGCAAACCCCCAAATCCGCCATTTCCCCCTGTCCGGTTTTCCGGAAGTTTCCGTGGCCGCTTGGGTCACTCGGGGGCGGGGTTGGCCAGGCGGGCCTGGAGCTTGGCCTGGTCCACGGCGTCCAGGAGGTTCTTGGCGTCCATGGCCAGGGCGTGCGAGGCCGTCAGCATCTGCCGGCGGAACTCGGCCGCCAGCGCGGGGCCCAGGCTCTGCTGCGCCAGCCGCACCTTCCCGATCAACGCCGCCAGCTCCGCGTTCAGCACCCGCTGCGTGCCCTCGATCTGACACCGGAAATTCACCGAGTTTGGGGTTACCTCAGCAGGAAATTCAAGGATTTGTCCCAGGAAATTCAAGGATTTGTCCCAGGAAATTCAAGAATTTTCCCAGAAAATTCTGGATTTTTTCCCCAGGAAATTCTGAATTTTTCCCAGGGAAATTTTCCAGGAAATTGCAGAATTTTCCCAGAAAAATATGGATTTTTTTCGCAGAAAAATATGGATTTTTTTCGCAGAAAATTCTGCATTTTTTTCCAGAAAATTCTGATATTTTTCCCAGAAATTTTTCCCCAGGAAATTCAAGAATTTTCTCTCAGAAAATTCTGGATTGTTTTCCCCAGAAAATTCAAGAATTTTTCCCAGGAAACTCTGGATTTTTTCCAGAAAATTCTGATATTTTTCCCAGAAAATTTTCCCCAGGAAATTCAAGAATTTTCCCAGAAAATTCTGGATTTTTTCCCCAGGAAATTCTGGATTTTTTCCCCAGGAAATTCTGGATTTTTTCCCCAGGAAATTCAAGAATTTTTCCAGGAAATTCTGAAATTTTCCCTGGAAAATTATCCCAGGAAATTCCAAAATTTTCCCAGAAAATTTCATAATTTTTTTCCAGGAAATTCCAGAATATTTTGAGGAAATGATGACAGTTTTCCAGAAAATTCAAGAATTTTTCCAGGAAATTCTGAAAATTTTTTCCAGGAAATTTTCCCAGAAATTCTTGATTTTTGCCATAAAATTCCATAATTTTTTTCCAGGAAATTCTGGAATTTTTCCAGAAAATTCCCGATTTTTTTCCCATAAAATTCAAGAATTTTTCCAGGAAATTCTGACATTTTCCCAGAAACTCCCAGCATTTTCCCACAAAATTCTGGATTTTTTTCCCAGAAAATGCTGGAAATTTTTGCCAGAAAATTCCATGATTTTTCTAGAAAATTTCGTAATTTTTTCCAGGAAATTCTGAAATATTTCCAGAAAATTCTGGATTTTTTGCCAAAAAAATCCAGAATTTTTCCAGGAAATTTTGGGAATTTTCCCAGGAAATTTTGGGAATTTCCCCAGGAAATTGGTTCAAGGATCCCAAGGAGGATCTGGGAACGTGGCAATTGATCCCACCATGGATCCAATGACCCAAGCTAAGAGTGGGGAACGTTTTTCCAGAATTTTCCGGGAATTTCGGGAACGCCCCCCGCCCCTGCCGCCGTGGGTACCTCGGTGCGGGCGGAGGCCGGGAGCTGGGGCAGGACGGCGTCGACGCTGCCGATCAAATTCCGCAGGCACAGCCCGATGTTCTGCGGGATCCGGGGAATACTCGGCATGGATCCGTCCCGGGGGGGAACGGATCCATCCCAGCGGGGGTGGATTCCCACCAGGGCATGGATCCCACCAGGGCATGGATGGATCCCAGCAGGGAATTGGATCCCACTGGGGCACGGATCCCATCAGGGGATGGATCCCAGCAGGGCATGGATCCCACCAGGGCGTGGATGACACCCGGGCATGGATCCCACCAGGGAATGGATCCCACCGGGGCGTGGATCCCACCAGGGAAAGTATCCCAGCAGGGAATGGATCCCAAGAGAGGATCTGGGTGGGAATGGATCCCACCAGGGCAAGGATCCCAGCAGGGGACAGATCCCAGCAGGGCATGGATGACACCAGGGCAAGGATCCCAGCAGGGCATGGATCCTACCAGGGGATGGATCCCAGCAGGGCAAGGATTCCATCAGGGGATGGATCCCATCAGGAATGGATCCCACCAGGGCAAGAATCCCAGCAGGGAACGGATCCCACCAGGGAATGGATCCCACCGGGGCGTGGATGACACCAGGATGGATCCCACCAGGGCATGGATGGATCCCACCAGGATGGATCCCACCAGGGACAGATCCCACCAGGATGGATCCCAGCAGGGCGTGGATCCCACCAGGGCATGGATGACACCCGGGCACGGATCCCATCAGGGGATGGATGACACCAGGGCATGGATCCCACCGGAACAAGGATCCCACCAGGGCATGGATCCCAGCAGGGAATGGATCCCACCAGGGCGTGGATCCCATCAGGGGTGGATCCCAGCAGGGAATTGGATCCCAGCAGGGAATTGGATCCCAGCAGGGAATGGATGACACCAGGGGACGAATCCCACCAGGATGGATCCCACCAGGGACAGATCCCACCAGGATGGATCCCATCAGGGCATGGATCCCACCAGGGCATGGATGACACCCAGGCATGGATCCCATCAGGGGATGGATGACACCAGGGCATGGATCCCACCGGAACAAGGATCCCAGCAGGGCACGGATCCCATCAGGGCATGGATGGATCCCACCAGGGATGGATGGATCCCACCACGGGATGGATCCCACTGGGGATGGATCCCAGCAGGGCATGGATCCCATCAGGGCAAGGATCCCACCGGGGCATGGATGACACCAGGGATGGATCCCAGCAGGGAATTGGATCCCACCAGGGAATGGATCCCACCGGGGATGGATGGATCCCAGCAGGGCATGGATGACACCCGGGCGTGGATCCCAGCAGGGGACGGGTCCCACCAGGGCATGGATCCCATCAGGGGTGGATCCCAGCAGGGAATTGGGTCCCAGCAGGGCGTGGATCCCAGCAGGGATGGATCCCACCGGGGCAAGGATCCCACCAGGGAATGGATCCCACCAGGGGTAGATCCCACCAGGGCGTGGATCCCACTGGGGCATGGATCCCAGCAGGGAATGGATCCCAGCAGGGAATGGATCCCACCAGGGCATGGATGGATCCCAGCAGGGCATGGATCCCAGCAGGGAATGGATCCCACTGGGGCATGGATGGATCCCAGCAGGGCGTGGATCCCACCGGGGCATGGATCCCACCAGGGAATGGATCCCAGCAGGGGTGGATTCCCGGTGGGAATGGTTTGGGGTGGGATGAGGGGAGGCTCCAACCGTGGGGACAAGGAGGGAGCCGGGAATGTGGGAATGGGTCCCACCATGGAGCCAATGGAAGGGTTGGGAATGTTGGAGATTCCGCCATGGATCCAAGGAGCCAATGGAAGGGTTGGGAATGTTGGAGATTCCACCAAGGATCCAATGGAGGAACAGGGAATGTTGGAGATCCCACCATGGATCCAAGGACCCAATGGAGAAGTTGGAAATTTGGGAATTGGTGCCACCATGGAAACAAAGCCCCAGGAGAGGAACAGGGAACGTTGGAGACTCTCCCACCATGGATCCAAAGCCCCAAGGTAGGAACAGGGAATGTTGGAGCCCCCACCATGGATCCAAGGACCCAATGGAGGAGCTGGGAATGTGGGAATTGGTCCCACCATGGACCCAAGGATCCAAGGGAGAGGTTGGAAATTTGGGAATTGGTTCCACCATGGATCCAAAGCCCCAAGAGAGGAACAGGGAATGTTGGAGCCTCCCCCACCACGGACCCAAGGATCCCAAGGACCACCCAGAAATTCTGGAATCTCCCCCTCTCCGGGACACGCCCCCCCCTTTCCCCTTCCCCAAAACAGCATCAGCCAATCAGGATCCCCGGTTTCCCCGCCCCGTGTCCGTTTTCCCGGTGCGATTCCGGCGGGATGGGCGCCCACCTTGACGGCCAGGATGTAGCCGTGGGGCGGCAGGCGGCCGATGTCGTCCTTGAGGCGCAGCACGGCGCGCACCAGCTCCGTGACGCTGCCGTACACCGCGTCCGCCGAGCGGTCCAGCCGCGCCGTGGGCGCCGGATGCAGCTGGGACTGGAGAGGGGGGGGAAACACGGGGATGGAGAACGGGGATAAACGGGGATAAAAAGGGATAAACGGGGATAAACGGGGATAAAAGGGATAAAAAGGGATGGCGGGGATAAAAGGGATAAATGGGGATAAAAGGGAATAAACAGGGATAGCGGGGATAAACAGGGATGGCGGGGGAAAACAGGGATAAAAAGGGAAAACAGGGATAGCAGGGAAAACAGGGATGAAAAGGGATCACAGGGAAAACAGGGATAACGGGGATAGCAGGGAAAACAGGGATAAAAGGGATAAACAGGGATAAAAAGGGATAGCAGGGATAAAAAAGGGATGGCGGGGAAAACAGGGATTAAAAGGGATTAAAAGGGATCACAGGGAAAACAGGGATAGCAGGGAAAACAGGGATGGCAGGGAAAACGGGATCAGAAATTCCAGGATAACAGGGATGACGGGATCGGGAAAACAGGGATAAACAGGGAAAACAGGGATAAAAGGGATGGCAGGGATAGCAGGGAAAACAGGGATAAAAGGGAAAACAGGGATAAAAGGGAAAACAGGGATGGCAGGGAAAACAGGGATAAAAAGGGATAGTGAGGATAACAGGGAAAACAGGGATAAAAAGGGATGGCAGGGACAGCAGGGAAAACAGGGATAAAAGGGATAAAAGGGATGGCAGGGATAGCGGGGAAAACAGGGATAAAAGGAATAAAAGGGATCGCAGGGATAACAGGGATAAAGGGATAGCAGGGAAAACAGGATCAGGAAAACAGGGATAAAAAGGGATAGCAGGGAAAACAGGGAAAAAGAGATCAGAAATTCCAGGATAACAGGGATGACGGGATTGGGAAAACAGGGATAGCAGGGAAAACAGGATAGGGAAAACAGGGATAAAAGGGATAGCAGGGAAAACAGGGATGAAAAGGGATCGCAGGGAAAACAGGGATAGCGGGGGATGGCAGGGATAGCGGGGAAAACAGGGATGACAAAGGGAAAACAGGGATAAAAAGGGATAAAAGGGATGGCAGGGAAAACAGGGATAAAAAGGGATCACAGGGAAAACAGGGATAAAAGGGAAAACAGGGATAGCAGGGAAAACAGGGATAACAGGGATGAGGAATCCCGGGAAAACGGGATCAGAAATTCCAGGATAATGGGGATAATGGGATCAGGAGTTCTGGGAAAACAGGGAAAACAGGGGTAACGGGATCGGGAATTCCAGCATAACAGGGATAAGAGGATCAGAATTTCTGGGATAACAGGGATAATGGGATCAGGAATTCCAGGAAAACAGGGAGAACAGGATCGGGAATCCCGGGATAACAGGGAAAACAGGGATAACAGGATCGGAAATTCCAGGATAACAGGGATAACGGGGATCAGGAATTCCAGGATAGCAGGGATAACAGGACCGGGAATTCTGGGATAACAGGGATAACGGGATCAGGAATCCCAGGATAGCAGGGAAAACAGGGATAAAGGGGTTGAGAATCCCGGGATAACAGGATCAGGAATCCCAGGAAAACAGGGAAAACAGGGATAATGGGATCGGGAATCCCGGGATAGCAGGGATAACAGGGATAACAGGATCAGAAATTCCAGGATAACAGGGATAACAGGATTGGGAATCCCGGGATAGCAGGGAAAACAGAGATAATGGTATCAGGAATCCTGGGATAACAGGGAAAACAGGGATAACGGGATCAGGAATCCCAGGATAGCAGGGATAATGAGATCAGGAATTCTGGGATAACATGGAAAACAGGGAAAACGGGATCGGGAATTCCGGGATAACAGGGATAACAGGATCAGGAATTCTGGGATAACAGGATCAGAAATTCCAGGATAACACAGAAAACAGGGATAACGGGATCGGGAAAACAGGGATCAGAAATTCCAGGATAACAGGGATGATGGGATCAGAAATTCCAGGATAACAGGGAAAACAGGGATGATGGGATCAGGAATCCTGGGATAACAGGGATCAGAAATTCCAGGATAACAGGGATTAACGGGATTGGGAATTCCAGGATAACACGGAAAACAGGGATAACGGGATCAGGAATTCCGGGATAACAGGGATAACGGGGATCAGGAATTCCAGGAAAAACGGGAAAACCAACATCTGTCAGCAAGGGCTTGTGGTGCTCCCATCCCTGGGAAAGGCTGGGATAGGGATTGGAGGAACCGGGAATTCCGTGAGCATGGAATGGGGTGGGGTTGGGAGGTTCCTTCCCCTGGGATCTTGGGCAGGAATTCCCAGAGAATCCCTGGGAGCATCCAAGGGTGGGTTTGGAGCACCCTGGGATGGTGGGAGGTGTCCATGGGATCACGGGATTGAGGGTCCATGGATCCCATCCCAAACCATTCCGGGATTCTGGGATCAGGGACACTCAGGATCCATCCCAAGGGATTTTTATGGAATTCGGGGATGGAAAAGGGAAGGGAGACCCTTCCTGGAGTCCCCAATTCCCAGTGAAGCCCCTGGATCCCGAAATTCCTTCTCAAGGAGGAATCAGGATGGGGCTGGATCCAATGCCAGGCTGGGAGAGCAGCTGGGAATGTGCAGCTGGATCAGGGGAGGATCCAGGGAATCCTTGGAGCCGCTTCCCCATCCCAAAGGGGCTCCAGGAGAGCTGGGATTGGGGCAAGGGCTGGAGGGGCAGGAGCCAGGGAATGGTTTCCAGTGGGAAAGGGGAGCTTGGGATGCTGGGATCCTGGGAAGGGATTCCTGGCTGGGCTGCGATTCCCAGAGAATCCCTGGGAGCGTCCCAGGGTGGATTTGGAGCACCCTGGGATGGTGGGAAGTGTTCCTGGGATGGGATTGAAGGTCCCTGGATCCCATCCCAAACCATTCCGGGATTCTGGGATCAAGGACACTCAGGATCCATCCCGAGGGATTTTTATGGAATTCAGGGATGGAAAAGGGAAGGGAGACCCTTCCTGGAGTCCTGAATTCCCAGTGAAGCCCCTGGATCCCGAAATTCCTTCTCAAGGAGGAGTCGGGATGGGGCTGGATCCAATCCAGAGGGATTTGGGACCCTGGAATGGCCGGGAATGGCTCCCACCACGACCGGAGGTTCGGGATTTGGGGATTTTGGGATCTTGGGAAGGAATTCCTGGATCCCAGAGAATCCCTGGGAATGTCCAAGGGATCACCCTGGGATCCTGAGGGTCCCTTCCCACCCAAACCACCCTGGAATCCTTTGGGATTTCCCAGCCCCAATCCCGGCCCCGATCCCGATCCCGTCTGACCCCTCTGGAGCTGGGAACGGCCGGGGAAATTCCCGGATTCCTGGGATCCATCCCAGGTCTTACCTGCGCCCCAAGTCTCGGCGGCTTCTGGGGAGGCCCCGTGAATTGCGCTGGGAAAAGGGAGGGAAAATCATTCCAGAAGATTCCAGGGAATCCCGGGAACGCCACGAAACCCCGGGATCCGCACCCAACCCCTTCCCCTGGGATCCCAATCCCAGATTTCCCAGCTCGGGGAAAAAATGGGAATTTCACTCGTGGTGGGGAGGGGGATCCACGGGGAACCATTCCCGAGGTGAATTCCGGGTGGGAATTCCGGAATTCCGGGGTGGGAATCGGCAGGGACTCACTGTAATCCGTCTCCTTCTCCGGGAGGAGCTGGAAGGGGGGGAAAAATCGGGAATTAGAGACCCCAAAATTCGGGATAAAGGGAGAGGGAGCCCCAAAATTCGGGATGGAGGGAGGAGGAGCCCTAAAATTTGGGATGGAGGGAGGAAAGGCCACAAAATTTGGGATGGAGGGAGGAAAGGCCCCAAAATTTGGGATGGATGGAGGAAAGGCCACAAAATTTGGGATACAGGGAGGAGGAGCCCAAAAATTTGGGATGGAGGGAGGAGGAGCCCCAAAATTTGGGATACAGGGAGGAAAGGCCCCAAAATTTGGGATGGAGGGAGGAAAGGCACCAAAATTCGGGATGGAGGGAGGGGGAGCCCTAAAATTTGGGATGGAGGGAGGAAAGGCCCCAAAATTTGGGATGGAGGGAGGAGATGCCCCAAAATTTGGGATGGAGGGAGGAGGAGCCCCAAAATTTGGGAGGGAGGGAGGGGGAGCCCCAAAATTTGGGATGGAGGGAGGAAAGGCCACAAAATTTGGGAGGGAGGGAGGAAAGGCCACAAAATTTGGGATGGAGGGAGGAGGAGCCCCAAAATTTGGGATGGATGGAGGAAAGGCCCCAAAATTTGGGATGGAGGGAGGAGGAGCCCCAAAATTTGGGATGGAGGGAGGAGGAGCCCCAAAATTTGGGATGGAGGGAGGAAAGGCACCAAAATTTGGGATACAGGGAGGAGATGACCCAAAATTTGGGAGGGAGGGAGGAAAGGCACCAAAATTTGGGATACAGGGAGGAAAGGCCCCAAAATTTGGGATACAGGGAGGAAAGGCCCCAAAATTTGGGATGGAGGGAGGAGGAGCCCAAAAATTTGGGATGGACGGAGGAAATGCCCTAAAATTTGGGATGGAGGGAGGAGGAGCCCAAAAATTTGGGATGGAGGGAGGAAAGGCCCCAAAATTTGGGATGGAGGGAGGAAAGGCCACAAAATTTGGGATGGAGGGAGGAGGAGCCCCAAAATTCGGGATGGAGGGAGGAGGAGCCCCAAAATTTGGGATGGAGGGAGGAAAGGCACCAAAATTTGGGGATTTTGGGGTTGATTTTCCCAGGATTTCTAAGATCACTCACCGGGGGAACGTTGTTGTTCAGGAACACCTTGGGATCCTGGAAAAGGGGGAAAAGAGGGTGAGAGGTGGGGAAAAATGGGGAAAAATGGGAAAAGGGGGGGAAAAGGGAGGAAAAAGGGGGGAAAATCCCATTTCCAAAATATTAAGAATGATAATAATAATAATAATGATAATAATAATAATAACAATAAAGTGCAACTGAAAACGCCTTAAAGTTCCCCAAAATTCCAAATATTCCCTTGGATTGTGGAGTCCCTGGATCCCAAAATTCCTTCTCAAGGAGGCGTCGGGATGGGGCTGGATGCAACGCCAGGCTGGGAGAGCAGCTGGGAATGTGCAGCTGGATCAGGGGAGGATCCAGGGAATCCTTGGAGCCGCTTCCCCATCCCAAAGGGGCTCCAGGAGAGCTGGGATTGGGGCAAGGGCTGGAGGGGCAGGAGCCAGGGAATGGCTTCCAGTGGGAAAGGGGAGCTTGGGATGCTGGGATCCTGGGAAGGGATTCCTGGCTGGGCTGGGATTCCCAGAGAATCCCTGGGAGCATCCCAGGAAAGGTTGGAGCATCCTGGGATAATGGGATGGGTTGGGATTGGAGGTCCAAGGATCCCATCCCGAACCATTCTGGTATTTTGGGATCACGGAGATTTGGAATCTCTCTGGGGGCATTTTTATGGAATTTGGGGATGGAAAAGGGAAGGGAGACCCTTCCTGGAGTCCTGAATTCCCAGTGAAGCCCCTGGATCCCGAAATTCCTTCCCAAGGAGGAGTCGGGATGGGGCTGGATCCAATGCCAGGCTGGGAACGGAGGGAATTCCCTGGGAAAGGGGAGCTTGGGATGGTGGGATTTGGGAAGGAAGGCTCGGGATCCATCCCAAACCCAATCCCAGGCTCAGGATCCATCCCAAAGGCTCAGGATCCATCCCCGTCCCAATCCAAATCCCAATCCCAGGAAGGAATTCCCAGAGAATCCCTGGCAGTGCCCAAGGGTGGATTTGGAGCACCCTGGGATGATGGGAATTGTCCCTGGGATGGGATTGAAGGTCCATGGATCCCATCCCAAACCATTCTGGGATTCTGGGATCAGGGACACTCAGGATCCACCCCGAGGGATTTTTATGGAATTCGGGGATGGAAAAGGGAAGGGAAAGGAGGGAATTCCCTGGGAAAGGGGAGCTTGGGATTGTGGGATTTCGGCAAGGAATTCCTGGAGTTCTCCAGGAACCCCATCCGGACGTGATCCCCACCCAACCCATCCCACGAGGGACAATTCCTGATGTATTTTTGGGAATTTTGGGATCTTGGGAAGGGATTCCTGGCTGGGCTGGGATTCCCAGAGAATCCCTGGCAGTGTCCAAGGAAAGGTTGGAGCACCCTGGGGTTGGAATGGGATGGGATTTGAGGCCCCTTCCCACCCAACCCACCCTGGAATTCTCCGCGATCCATCGGGATTGGATCCATGCCGTGATCCCCACCCAACCCATCCCAGGCGGGGCCGATTCCCGAGGGATTTTTGGGATTTTTTGGGAATTTTGGGATGTCTGACCAGGCTCTGGACCTCCTGCCAGAGCCAGCGTTGATCCTCCATCATCTCCTTTGAGCTCCCTTCCCACCCAACCCACCCTGGAATTCTCCGCGATCCATCGGGATTGGATCCGTGCCGTGATCCCCACCCAACCCATCCCAGCAGGGGCCGATTCCCGAGGGATTTTTGGGAATTCTGGGATCTTGGGAAGGGATTCCTGGCTGGGCTGGAATTCCCAGAGAATCCCTGGGAGCGCCCAAGGAAAGGTTGGAGCACCCTGGGGTTGGAATGGGATGGGATTTGAGTTCCCTTCCCACCCAACCCATCCTGGAATTCTCCACGATCCATCGGGATTGGATCCATGCCATGATCCCCACCCAACCCATCCCACGAGGGACAATTCCCGATGGGATTTTTGGGAATTTTGGGAATTTTGGGATGTCTGACCAGGCTCTGGACCTCCTTCTGTAGCCAGCGCTGATCCTCCAGCATCTCCCTCTGCTGGCGCTCCATGGCCTGCTCCACCCGCAGCCGCTCCAGCTCCAGCAGCTGCTGCGCCTCCTCCCGGCTCGAGGGGCGCTGGAAATCCTCCTCCTGGAATCCCGGGAATGCGCGTTATCCCGGGGAAAAAAACACCCATCGCGGGGAATGATCGGTGATCGATTGCGGGGGATGATCGGTGATCGATTAATGGTTGATTGAGGGGGATGATCGGTGATCGATTAATGATTGATTGCAGGGAATGATCGGTGATCGATTAATGGTTGATTGCGGGGGATGATCGGTGATCGATTGTGGGGGATGATCGGTGATCGATTAATGGTTGATTGTGGGGGATGATCGGTGATCAATTAATGGTTGATTGTGGGCGATGATCGGTGATCGATTAATGGTTGATTGTGGGGGATGATCGGTGATCGATTAATGGTTGATTGTGGGGGATGATGGGTGATCGATTAATGGTTGATTGCGGGGAATGATCGGTGATCGATTAATGGTTGATTGTGGGGGATGATCGGTGATCGATTGTGGGGGATGATCGGTGATCGATTAATGGTTGATTGAGGGGGATGATCGGTGATCGATTAATGGTTGATTGTGGGGAATGATCGGTGATCGATTAATGGTTGATTGTGGGGGATGATCGGTGATCGATTAATGGTTGATTGTGGGGGATGATCGGTGATCGATTAATGGTTGATTGTGGGGGATGATCGGTGATCGATTAATGGTTGATTGAGGGGAATGATCGGTGATCGATTAATGGTTGATTGAGGGGGATGATCGGTGATCGATTAATGGTTGATTGAGGGGGATGATCGGTGATCGATTAATGGTTGATTGAGGGCGATGATCGGTGATCGATTAATGGCTGATTGTGGGGGATGATCGGTGATCGATTAATGGCTGATTGTGGGGGATGATCGGTGATCGATTAATGGTTGATTGTGGGGGATGATCGGTGATCGATTAATGGTTGATTGCGGGGAATGATCGGTGATCGATTAATGGCTGATTGTGGGGATGATCGGTGATCGATTAATGGTTGATTGCGGGGGATGATCGGTGATTGATTAATGGTTGATTGTGGGGGATGATCGGTGATTGATTAATGGTTGATTGAGGGGGATGATCGGTGATCGATTAATGGCTGATTGTGGGGATGATCGGTGATCGATTAATGGTTGATTGCGGGGGATGATCGGTGATCGATTGTGGGCAATGATCGGTGATCGATTAATGGTTGATTGAGGGGGATGATCGGTGATCAATTAATGGTTGATTGAGGGGGATGATCGGTGATCGATTAATGGTTGATTGAGGGGGATGATCGGTGATCGATTGTGGGCAATGATCGGTGATCGATTAATGGCTGATTGTGGGGGATGATCGGTGATCGATTGTGGGGGATGATCGGTGATCGATTAATGGTTGATTGAGGGGATGATCGGTGATTGATTAATGGTTGATTGTGGGGAATGATCGGTGATTGATTAATGGTTGATTGTGGGGGATGATCGGTGATCGATTAATGGTTGATTGAGGGCAATGATCGGTGATCGATTAATGGTTGATTGATTGTGGGGGATGATCGGTGATTGATTAATGGTTGATTGCAGGGAATTATCATTGATTGATTAATGGTTGATTGAGGGGAATGATCGGTGATCGATTAATGGTTGATTGTGGGGAATTATCATTGATTGATTAATGGTTGATTGAGGGGTTAATTAGGAGTTAATGAGCTCCCTCCATAGCGAGGAGTCGATGGAGTTCCAGGGAGGGATTCCCAGTGTGGGGCTGGAGAGGGCGGAGGGGAGGAAAAGGGGGAAAATGGGGAAAAATGGGGAAAAATGGGGAAAATGGGAAAATGAGGGAAAGGGAGAAAATGGGGGAAAGAGGGAAAAATGGGGAAAAAGGAAAAGGGGGAAAAAGGGGGGAAAGGGGGAAAAGAGGATAAAAAAATGGGGAAAATGGGAGAAAGAGGAAAGGGGAAAAGGGGATAAAGGGGGAAAAGGGGGGAAAAGGGGGAAAAGGGGGGAAAATGGGGAAAAGGGGGAGAGGGAAAAGGGGGAAAAGAGGGGAAAAGGGGGGAAAGGGAAGAAAAATGGGGGAAAGGGGGAAAAGGGGAAAGGGGATAAAGGAGGAAAAATGGGGGAAAAGGGAAAAAAGGGAAAGAGGAAAAATGAAGGAAAAGGGGGAAAAGGGGGAGAGGGAAAAGGGGAATAAAGGGGGAAAATGGGGGAAAGGGGGAAAATGGGAAAGAGGTGAGAAGGGGAAAATGGGGGAAAAGAGGGGAAAAGGGGGAAAAGGGAATAAAAATGGGAAAATGGGGGAAAGGAAGAAAATGGGGGAAAGGGGAAAAATGGGAAAGGAGAAAAGGGGATAAAGGAGGAAAAATGGGGGAAAAGGGAAAAAAGGGAAAGAGGAAAAATGTGGGAAAAGGGGAAAAGAAGGGAAAAGGGGAAAGGGAAAAAGGAGAAAAAAGCAGGGAGGGGATGGGGATAAAGGGGAAAAGGGGAAAGGGGGAAAAGGGGATAAAGGAGGAAAAATGGGAAAAAGGGGGAAAAAGGGGGGAAAGAGGGGAAAAGGGAGGAAAATGGGGAAATGGGAAAGAGGTGAGAAGGGGAAAAGGAGGGAAAGGGGAAAATGGAAAAGGGGGAAAAATGGGGAAAATGGGGAAAGGGGGAGAAAAATGGAAAATGGGGGAAAGGGGGAAAAAGGGGAAAGGGGAAAAGGGGATAAAGGAGGAAAAATGGGGGAAAAAGGAAAAATGGGGGGAAAGAGGGGGGAAAGGGAAAATGGGGGAAAGAGGGGAAAGGGGGGAAAGGGGGAAAAGGGGAAAAAGGAGAAAAAGGAGGAAAGGAGAAAGGGGGAAAGGGGGGAAAAAGGTGGATAAAGGGGGAAAGAGGGAAAAAAGGAGAAAAAAGGGGGAAATGGGGAAAAAGGGGAAGAAGGGGGAAAAGGGAAAGATGAAAAAGGGAAAAAGGGGATAAAGGGGAAAATGGGGGAAATGGGGAAAAGGGGAGAAGGAAAAGGGGAAAGAGGGAAAAAAGGGAAAGAGGGGAAAGGGGAAAGAGGGGAAGGGGGAAAAGGGGAAAATGGGGAAAACAGGGAAGAGGGAAAGGGAGGAAAAGTGGGATAAAGGGGGGAAAGGGAGAATAGGGATAAAAATGGGAAAGGGGGAAAAGGGGGGAAAAAGGGGGAAAAGGGAAAGAGGAAAAATGGGGGGAAGGAAGAAAAGGGAAAAGGAGAAAAGGAGGGAAAAGGGAGAAAATGGAGAAAGGGGGGAAAGGGGAAAAAGGAGAATAAAGGTGGGAAAAGGGGGAAAAAGGAGAATAAAGGTGGGAAAAGGGGGAAAAGGGGAAAAGAGGGAAATGAGGAAAAAGGAGAAAAAAGGAGAAAATGTGAAAAGGGGGAAAAGGCGGGAAAGGGGAAAATCGGAAAGAGGGGGAAGGGGAAAAAAGGGAAAAGGGGAAAAGGGGGAAAATCAGGGGAAAAGGGGAATAAAGGAGAAAAATGGGGAAAAGGGGAAAAGGGGAAAAGGGGAAAAGTGGGAAGGGGAAAAGGGGAAAAAGGGGGAAAAGGGGAAAGGGGAAAAAGGAGGGAAATGGGAAAAGGGGGAAAAGGGGGAAGGGAAAAAGGAGAAAAATGGGAAAATGGGGAAAAGGGGAAAATGGGAAAAGAGGAGGAAAAATGGGGGAAAGGGAGAAACTGGGAAAAGGGGAAAAGGAGAAAAAAGGGGGAAAATGGGATAAAGGGGGAAAAGGGGGGAAAAATGGGAAAAAAGGGTAAAGGGGATAAAGGGAAGAAAAGGGGAAAAGAGATAAAAGGAGAAAAATGGGGGAAAAGGAGGAAAAGGGGGAAATGGGGATAAAGGGGGAAAAGGAGAAAGGAGAAAGAATGAGAAAAAAGGGAAAATGGGGGGAAAGGGGAAAAAGGAAAAGGAAAAGGGGAGTAGTGACAAAAATAGGAAAAGGGGAAAAAAGGGGGAAAAGTAAAATGGGGGAAAAGGGGGATAAAAGGGGAAAATCAGGATAAAGGGGGAAAAAGGGGAAAAGGGGGAAAAATGGGGATAGAGGAGAAAAAAGGGAGAAAAAGTTGGGGAAAAAGAGGGGAAAAAATGGAGGGGGAAAAGGGGGAAAATAGGGGGGACGGGGGAGAAAATGGGGAAAAAGAGGAAAAAGAGGGGAAAAGGGGAAAGGTGAAAAAGGAGGGAAATGAGAAAAAGGGGGATAAAGGGAGAAGGGAAAAAGGAGAAAAATGGGAAAAGGGGGAAAAGGGAAAAATGGGAAAGAGGAGGAAAAATGGGGGAAAGGGAGAAACTGGGAAAAGGGGAAAAGGGGAAAAAAGGGGGAAAATGGGATAAAGGGGAAAAGGGGGGAAAATGGGAAAAATGGGGAAAAAGGGGATAAAGGGAAGAAAAGGGGAAAAGAGATAAAAGGAGAAAAATGGGAAAAGGGGGAAAAGGGGAAAAATGGGAAAGAGGAGGAAAAATGGGGGAAAGGGAGAAACTGGGAAAAGGAGAAAAAAGGGGGAAAATGGGATAAAGGGGGGAAAGGAGAAAAATGGGAAAAAAGGGGATAAAGGGAAGAAAAGGGGAAAAGAGATAAAAGGAGAAAAATGGGGGAAAAGGGGAAAAGGGGAAAATGGGGATAAAGGGGGAAAAGGGGAAAAGGAGAAAGAATGGGAAAAAAAGGGGAAAATTGGGGGAAGGGGGAAAAGGAAAAGGGGGAGTAGTGACAAAAACAGGAAAAGGGGAAAAAAGGGGAAAAAAGTAAAATGGGGAAAAGGGGGATAAAAGGGGAAAATCAGGATAAAGGGGGGAAAAGGGGAAAAGGGGGGAAAAATGGGGATAGAGGAGAAAAAAGGGAGAAAAAGTTTGGGGTAAAATGGAGGGGAAAAAATGGAGGGGGAAAAGGGAGAAAAAAGGGGGGACAGGGGAGAAAATGGGGGAAAAAGAGGAAAAAGAGGGGAAAAGGGGAGAAAATGGGAAAAAATGGGGAAAAGTGGGAAAAAAGGGGGGAAAGGGGGGAAAAAGTTGGGAAAAAGGTTGGGAAAATTTGGGGAAAAATGGGGAAAATGGGGGAAAA